GGATGTATGTCGCGAATTGCATGATCGACCGAGTGTCATGGATGTGTAAAATGAATGGTGATCGGGTAAGCACCTAGATGATGTTCAATACAACAAGGGAGGAATATTGATAGGCACCTTTTGGTGAAGCTTTCTACTATCTGCACACCATGAAAAATAAATCAAGTCCACATCATTATGTAGCAGTATCGATTTGTGGGTCCAACTGTATGGCCACAAGTGCAGAAAGCTTAGACAAACGGTCTCATGAGGAGTCTCGCTGTGTTAGAAACTGACCCGCCGCTTGCTGTTGTAAACAGTGGAGTATAATCCTAGATTTGGGACCATAAACCAGAATGTGGAAATCAGTCTACAGACAGGCTTGAGTGGATGTGCCTGAATATATCATTCAACCATGGTGAATACTTTTGTATAGTATATCCTAGGTGTGGCCAAATACACATGTAGATCAAGGGGGAGAAATGAATTCCGAAACTCTCCAAAGTTTCCCTCATAATGACATAATGATATAATAATATAATATATAATATGGACATTTTGATCTTTGGCAAAGTGGAAGATCTGCAGATAGTGTTACCTTACCTATCTAAACTGAAAGGAACTGGCATTGGTGAAAAAGCGCTCACCTTCGTTTCCCGTTGCTAAATCACGGCCTGTTCACTGCGAGCCTTTCGTTAACAAGGGCTCGGGGTTGAAAACAGTGTTTTCCATGGTAGACGGTAGTTGGAAGTTCGTAGTGTGTATTATAGTGCCTTCATCAACTAAACCGAGTTGAACGTCGTTACCATCGACAGCAAAAGTCCAGCATTCAGCTTCAGTGCAACAAGACACTCGGTCCAAGTGGTCTGCATTCTTCAGAGAAGGTGATGAGTTTCTGGTGGCTAACCTGACGACTTTACCCTGAGTTATCTAGAATGAGGAGAGAGTTCCGACAACATGGAGCACCCCGACAGTGACTGCATTCGGAAAGGCGAAAGGTCGTACGCAAACTACTGGGGCATCAATCTATTGGTCATAGCTTCTAAGGTACTCTCTAGTACCGTCCAATGTAGATTAGTTTTTTCTGCCTGTCTCTGCAACCTCCGGGGTCAAAATGCTCGTGCGACGTTCCGTCACACACATTGAGTATGCGCACGATATTCTTCTTTTTTCTTCATATAGTTGAAAAATACAAACCTTTTCAACTACCCAAATGACCGCCAGACAGTTTGGCATATGCTTCACAACTGCAAAGTGTAAGGGTCTGTCACAAGACTTGGTGGGACCAAACCCAAACCTTATGCTTGCAGACCAATCGGTGGACGTGATAGGTTACTACCTGGACAGTTGTATAAGCTCCTGTGAATCGGCTGTAGATGAGATTACTTCTCGAATCCGAAAGACCCAGTCAGCCTTTGCCAATCTCCGACACCTATGGTGCCGACGCGACGTCTGGTTGTCTGTCGAGGGCAGAGTTTACACTGCGACAGTGCGACCAGGCTGATCTGCAAATCAGAGACGTGGCCTCTACGCGAAGATTGCTTACGAAAGTTGTCAGTGTGTAACCGTCCCCGAAGAATTGGTTTGGTCGGGTCGGAACATCGGATTAATAGTCCTAAGGTTCACCAGGTAGTTTCAGGAAGGAGGATCTCTCCCACGATACGCGGATTACTTTTCTACTGGGATTACGCTGGTCACGACATGTACTGTGCATGCCAGAAGACTGTCTGGCTCACAGAGCTCTTTTCGCTCATCACTGTGTTCAGTGGAAGCGACCGAGTGGTGGACTATGTATGATCTGCCAAAGAAGTATGAAAACACTGATCAGTAAACTGAGTCAGGTTGACAACTGCCGTCTCGGGAGATGGAGAAGGCTTTTGCTACGGGAAACAGCCGCGCCCTTTATCAACTGATACGATCGACTGGCCCTAGGAAGGCAACGGTCAGCGAAACGATAAATGAAAAAGATGGCTCATTAATTCACTCGCAAAAACGTCGACTGGAGAGATGGGCCGAACACTTCGAAGAGCAGTTCAGGTGGCCTTCTGCAACACAGCCGGTGGAGATAATGCATACGGGCGAATGGAATGTAAACCTTGATCGCCCTTCGGAAGACGAAACAAGGTACGAAATAGCCGTACTCAAACGTGAGAAGGCACCAGCACCGGACGGTCTGTATCCAGCCCTCTTCAAAGAAGGCGGAAATTCCCTGGTAACCCAACTGACGAAGCTTATTGGTGCTATATGGGACGAAGAGAAAGTGCCTGCAGAATGGGGCATGTCGACAGTTATCCCCAATTTCAAAAAGGGTACGCAGACGCTATGTGAAAACCACCGTGGCATCAGCCTGTTAGCTGTGGCATCGAAGGTGCTCTCTGGCCTTATCCTTCGAAGGTTGACTGAACACAGGGAGAGAGAGATCCGTGAAAACCAAGCTGGGTTCCGTCCTGCAAGAGGTTGCATCGATCATATCTTCACC